AAAACAAATTTTGTGGAATAAATATCTCTACTTGATAAAATATATCAGCAAAATTAAAAATAGAAAAAAATCTAATCTGATACAAGGCAGATACCAAATAAGTTTTAAAAAATCTTATGGCAAACATTAACTTAGTGATAAAATTGAATTCTCTTCTCATGTCAGGAATAAGGCAAGGATGCAGAGTATCGCCATTTCTATTAAACATTGCACTGAAGATTGCAGTTTAATGCAATGAGACAAAAAAATTTTCAAAACTTCTAATAAAATTAAAGAAGAAAAACCTGTTATATGCAGGTAACATGATTGTGGAAGTATAATTTTTAAAAGAATCTACCAAGATATTACTAGCAACAATAAATGAATTTAGTAAAGTTGCTGGATACAAAAATCAATTGTATTTTCATCTAATAGCAACCAACAAATTAAAACAAAATCTAAAAACAATACATTTAAAGTAGCATTAAAAACGTCAAATACCTAAGAATCATTTTCTGAATAATATGCAATTTTTCTACATTGCAAACTATAAAACATTACTGAAAGAAATAAAGAAAACCTAAATAAATGGAGGGATATGCTATGTTTGTGGGTTAAGTGACTTATATTATTATTTTAATTTTTCTCCAAGTGACCTTTAGGGTCAATGAAATCCCAATAAAAATTTCAGCATGTTTTTTAAAAGTGGAAATTGACAATTACATATACCACAATTGTCAATTATATATACTCACTGTCAATTATAAATACCACACTGTCTTAACTAGCTTTATAGAAAGTCTTAATGCCTTAGAATGTAAATCCTATAGCTTGCTTCTTCTCCAGTGTTTCCTTGATTGTCTTAGATCCATTTTATTTGTATATAATGTGATATAAGTATAATATTATATATAATTATATTTGTATTATAATCTCGCTATATAACATCCTGTATATATTTAGTATATTGTATATAAAACACACAATACTTCAGAATTTGACTTTCTTTGGAAATACATTCTTTATAGAGAAAATAGAGCTAGAAGGACGTAAGCCGGGTGGGCCATAATGTAATATGCTGGTGTCCTTATACAAAGAGAAAATTAGGACACAGAGACAGACACGCACAGAGGGAAGATGATGTGAGAAGACACAGAGAAACACCATGTGAAAATGGTGGCAGAGAATGGAGGTTTGCTGCCTCAAGCCAAGGAACGTCTGGGGCCACTAGAAGCTGGAGAAGGCAAGGAAGAATCTTTCCCTTACAGGTTTCAGAGAACCCACGACTGTGCTGACACCTTAATTACAGACTTCTAGCTTTTAGAATTGTGAGAAAACGAAGTTCTGTTTTTCTAAGTCACCTGGTTTATGGCTTGTATTATGGCAGCTCTTGGAAACTAGCACACTATAAAAGTAAAGAGTGACAAATAACTTCTTTACAGTAAGAAGTTTTGTGGCTGGGCGTGGTGGCTCATGCCTATAATCTCAGCACTTTGGGAGGCCGAGGCAGTTGAATCACTTGAGGTCAGGAGTTCCAGACCAGCTTGAACAACATGGCAAAATCCTGTCTCTACAAAAAATACAAAATTAGTCAGGCATGGGGCACATGCCTCTAAATCCTAGCTACTTGGGAGGCTAAGGTAGGAGAATCACTTCAACCTGGGATCGGGGTTGCAGGGAGCAGAGATCCTGCATTACACTCCAGCCTGGGCAACAAGTACAAAACTCCATCTCAAAAAAAAGAAAGAAAGAACGTTTGTGTATTCAGCAATAACATTAAGCATTAAAGACAAGCCACAGAAGAAGAGGTGAAATTTTCAATAGGTATATCTAATAAAGGATTAGAAAAAAAAAATCCTAAAATTCACACGGAACCGAAAAAGAGCCCATTAGCCAAAATAATCCTAATCAAAAAGAACAAAGCATCAAATTACCTGACTTCATATTATGCTACAAAGCTGTAGTAACCAAGACAGCATGATACTGGTATAAAAATAGACATGTAGGTCAGTGAAATAGAATAGAGAACCCAGAAATAAAGCCACATCCTTACAGAAACTGACCTTAGACAACTCAGTAGGAGTTGTCTAGTTGTATAGGAGAAAGGGCACCCTATTTAACAAATGGTTCTGGGATAATCGGACAGCCACAAGCAGAAAAATGAAACTAGACTCCAATCTCTTACTATACACAAAAATTAACTCAAGATGGATTAAAGATTAAACATAAGACTTGAAAATATAAAAATACTAGAAGAAAACTTAGGAAAAACTCTTCTAGACAATGGCCTTGGCAAAAAATTTAGAACTAAGACCTCAAAAGCAAATGTGACAAAACCAAAAATACACAAAAAAGCTTAAAGTAAGAAGCTTCTGCAGAGCAAAATAAATAGTCAACAGAACGAACAGACGACCTGCAGAAGGAAAGAAAATATTTATCAACTATGCATCTGACAAAGGACTAATATCCAGGGTCTATAAGGAATTTACACATCTCAGCAACAGCAATGAAAACCCATTAAAAGATGGGAAGGCACATTAACAGATATTTTTTCAAAAGAAGACATACAAATGGCCGGCAAGCATATGAAAAAAATGTTCGACATCACTAATCATCAGAGATGTAAACCAAAACCACAACGAGATACAATCTTAACACCAGTCAGAAAGGCTACTAATAAAAGTTAAAAAAAATGCCAGGAATGTTGGCCCTCGCCTGTAATCTCAGCACTTTGGGAGGCCCAGGTGGGCAGATCACCTGAGGTCAGGAGTTGGAGACCAACCTAACCAACATGGTGGAAACCTGTCTCTACTAAAAGTACAAAATTAGCTGGGTGCGGTGGCACATGCCTGTAATCCCAGCTACCTGGGAGGCTGAGGCAGGAGAATTGCTTGAACGCAGGAGGAGAAGGTTGCAGTGAGCTGAGTTTTACTGCTTACAGATGGCATGGTCTGGGAGGCACACGGGAGCATCTTCTGAGTTGGTAGAGATGTTCTTTAATTTGATCTGGGGTGTGGTTATATAGCTGTTTAAAAATGGAAAAATCTATGAAGGTATATAATTTGAGTTTGTATATGCTATCCTCTGAAAATGTTAAAAAAGTAAAAACAAAAAGTTAATAGACAAGAAAAGTATGAAAATGAAGAATCATGAAGAAGGGGATGCTTACTTCCTCAGATACCACAAGGCATTATAATATTACTATGATCAAATCACCTTGGAGAGGGACATTGGACCAGACAAACAAAGTGGAACTGATTAGATAATAGTAAGGTGGATGAGAGTTTTAAAAATAGATAAGGTGGATATGAGTTTTAAAAAATAGATAAGTAAATGTTTATTAAGTACTTAGAAGAGTCTACAGGTCTAGTAAGCACTATTAGTCAATTCACTAAATAAGTAAATAAAACTAGATTGCTGTATATTGTGACTTAATACATGAAAAGGTTACATCTCAATCTTATCGGAAATACATGCATTAATTAATAAACAAACCTGCCTCAACTGCCTATGCCTTTGAAATAAAATTAAGTTGGTCATCTATTTCCAGTATATATAATACAAAAACCCAAACAGGAAAACTCTTACAAGAAAAAAAAATAGAAAATTATAAGTAATTTAGAAGGAAGAGACCTTCTTAAGCAAGAAACTCAGCAATGTTAAAGAGAAGATAGATTCAGTTCACTACATAAGATTTAAAAATATTTTATGATAAAATATAACATGAAAATAGCAAATAAAAAGTGGATTTGATAAAATTTTGCAAAGCAGATAGTGAATAAAGTTAACATTTATTACATATATATATAATAATCTCACATGTATAATGAACTCTTAAAATTTAGCAAGAAGAAAGCAAACAAGCTAATAGAAATATGGATAAAAATTTTCAGACTCACTAGAAGTCAGGGAAATGCAGTAATGGGAGCTGCTTTTATATTTCTCTGATTGGCAAAAAACAATAGCTCTATTACCCATTGCTGGCAGAATTAATGAAGAAAATATGAATTAGAACAACTTTTCTTTTGGTAAAGCAGTTGGTCTACATTTTTTTAAAAAATAAAAAATGGCCAGTCCCTTTAATCCAAGAGGCCCATCCCAGGACTTTCGGGACAAATGCGTCTGCTTTTGTAATTCCCTGCTTGCCATCACCCACTAGAGAATTAACTCCAGTAACTTACTGCTACCTCAAACTCTTCTGAAAGATGTTTCCCCACAGAGACTGCTTGTTGGAAAACGAGACAAATCATAAAAAATAAGCAAATAAATACTAAACCAGAATAACAGCGGCAACAAAAACAGATAGTATCAAGGATTTAGCTTTATAACATTTATTTTAAAATAAAGGAACACATGCTCCTGGCAAGTAATTTAAACAACACAAAATTGTATAAATAAAAAGGTATAAGTCCCTGCCCCCAGAGCCTAGTGATAACAACCATTAATAAGTGGACACAGACTTACAGACTTTATATATCTTATATACATGTATATGTTAAATATACATGCATGCATACATATGTGTGTATATATGTGCATGTGTCTGTATATATATTATACATTGCAAAAAATGAAATCATGCCAATACGTAATCTGTAATTCTTTGTGTTTTAACAAACATTGTGGACACCCATCCCCATTAACAAATATAGAGCTGCCTCACTCTTTTAAAGGAGCTGCCTGCATGCATTCCCACACCTTTGTATTTTAAAGATATCTAAAATTTAAGTTCATTGAGATTTTTGCTTTTCCACATATGATTGCAATATCTTTGTACATGTACATTAACAGATTCACGCTGACATTTCAATAGGGAAGTTTCCTTAAAAAGATTGATAATAAAATACACTCATTTACAAATATGGTTCCCCAGCAGTTGTACAAAATTGTGTACTGTCACTAAGAGAATGAAAACCATCCATTTTCTATACTGTCCCAACCCTAACTTTAAAAAATTATGTCAATGTGAGAGGCAAAGACCATGGACTCATTATGCATAAAATTTTCATTTCTCTGTTTACCTCCAGCCTTTCCTTCTGTGTTCTGTAGAGAGGCAGTACAGCTTACCGGCTCACCTCTGCATACAAGAAAGGCAAGGGATATAGCTTAGTACAAAGTTAATATTAAAATAGCTTATTAGCATTAATATTAGTTTTTGTTGATATCCAGACTTTCTTTGAACAAGTGAGATTTTATTTTCACAAATGCAATGTTGCCTAATGGCCAAAAGTCGATCCACATAATACACATTATATGTTAATAAATGACAAAAGAAAACATTTCAATAGACACAGAAAAAACATTTGACAAATGCAACATCCATTGTAATAAAACCCCTGGCACAGTACTAATAGGATAAAAATTCTGAGTCTTGCTAAAAGTCATCTGCAAAAACCTCCAACTTACATTATACTTAATAATGAAAGAATGAGTGCTTTACTTGCGAGTTCAAGAACAAGATAATAATTTTCACTTTTAACATTCTACTCAATATTTTACTAGAATTATTAGCCAGGGAAATTATGCTAGAAGGCAAAATAAAATCCTCCAGATTAAAAAAAAATAGGATTGTCTTTTATTGCACACAATATAATCTACATAAAAATTTGTAAGGAATTTACTAAAAACTCACTAGAACTAATAAATTAATCTATGTCACAAGGTACAAGATCAACATGAAAATTAAATTGCACTTTTATATACTAGCAATAAACAATCTGAAAATTGACAAGTGTGACCTAATTAAACTAAAGAGCTTCTGCACAGCAAAAGAAATTGTCAACAGAGTAAACAAGCAGCCTACAGAATGGGAGAAAATATTCGAAAACTATGCATCTGACAAAAGTCTAATATCCAGAATCTGCAAGGAACTTAAACAAATCCACAAGCAAAAAACAAATAATCCAATTAAAAAATGGGCAAAGGACATGAACAGACACTTCTCAAAAGAAGATGTACAAGCAGCTAAGAAACATGAAAAAATGCTCTACATGACTACCATCAGAGAAATGCAAATCAAAACCACAATGAGATACCATTTCATTTCAGTCAGAATGGCAATTACTAAAAAGTCAAAAAATAACAGATGATGGCAAGGCTGTAGAGAAAAGGGAATGTATGTATATCTGAAAGAAAACAAATAGTTCTGCCAAAAAGGCACATACCCTTTTATGTCCATCACAGCTTTGTTCACAATAGCAAAGCCATGGAATCAATGTAGATGCCCATCAGTGGTGGACTGGATAAAGAAAATGCGGTATATATATACATCATGGAATATACATAGCCATAAAAAACAAGGGAATCATATCTTTTGCAACAACATGGATGGACCAGGAGGCCATTTTCCTGGGTAAATTAATGCAAGAACAGAAAACCAAATACTGCATGCTCTTACTTATAAGTGGGAGCTAAACATTGAATGCACATAGACATTAAGATGGGAATGACAGACACTGGGGACAATTGACAGAGGAGGGAGGAAGAAGGGGAACGGGGTGAAAAAGTTCCTATTGGTACTCTGTTCACTGTGACAGGCTCATTTGTACTCCAAACCTCAGCGTCATGCAACATACTCATGTAACAAATCTGCACATGGAGGCTTTATTCTAGAATAAAACTTTAAATTATTTAAAAAAATATTTTCAGCATAAAGTCCTTGCAGTTCTTTGGTTAAATTTATTTCTGAATATTTTTCTTCTTGATGCTATTATGAATATTTAGACTTTCTAAGCAGGCAGTAATATCATTTGCAAAGTGAGAGCTTAATGTTACTTATTAATGTTTTAATGTTTATGTTGTTTTCTATTCTTGTTTTAGCTGATTTAATCATCATGAAAAAACAATAATGACTAAAATATAAGTTACTGGGCAGTTACTCCTTTGTGGTTCTGACTTTGATGGGAACACTCTCCATGTTCTGCAGTTAAGTGAACGGTTGCTATGGGTTTCTGGTAGACGGGCATTCAGAGAGCTAAGAAGTGTATCTTCTATTTTTAGTTAGCCATTTTGTTTCAGGGATCTCCATATTTGAAGGTTTTTCCCTGCCTCGTTTCAGAGTCAGCAATCTTCTAAGGAGTCAGCTGTGGCTGCGTTTACAAATTCCAGTTAAGATAAGCTCAATTCAAGAAAGATCTGTCAGGTGCACGCACTTGGCAGGCCCTGGGAATGTAACAGTGAAGAGGAAGGCAAAGGTCTCTGTCCCCATGGAACTAACTGCATGACTGGAATTCAAAGTGCAGTGCATATCACAATGGAAGTTGCAATGGGGGTGTCAGAGGTAAATCAACCTATCCCTCAGTTGAGTGTGAGCTGGCAGGTGACACAGAGGGTCCTTCCACTGCATGTGTTCAGCCAAAAATGGGCCATGAAAGTTTTACAAAGATATTAACAATAAGAGCTGAGCAGAGGTTTTCATCTAAAAATGATGATCCTCGGATTAATTGATCAGCAAGAACTTCCTTTTGCAAGTCCCAGGTTTCCCACAATAATACCTGGGATTTATCTCCCTCTGATGGGTTTATTTCTTCAGAAAACCCTGGTGTTTGTGACTCAGCATAGCCAGCTCTGCTTGTATGGAGGGCCTCTTCTGGGCCACGTGTACTATGGGTAATACTGGCTTAATCCTAAGACTCACTTATGGATAGTTCTTATTCCTAGTGTACAAAGGAGGTGTTGATGACTGACTGAGACACACCACCTGGTTTCTCTTCAAGGCCGATTGCCCAACAGCCCCCAGTTCTTCCTTCAAGGTCAGTGTCATCTTTGGAACCAAGTGATGCTCTTCTAGAGGTGGTCCCAGCCATAAACCCAGTAAATCAATGGCATGAGGGTTGGGCCATTTCTACCACTTTGCAATCTTTGCCCCAGAGTCCCCTCTGTACTGGCTCAGACAAGGTCAGTTTGAAGTCATAGCCTGATGGCCACCCCTGACCATTCCTGCCCCCCTCCTCTTTCTCCCCAATGAAGCTGGGCAATCCTAACTCCAGCTCATCTTGTGTGTCCCAGAGACTCTAATCTCCAGGGAAACTGAGGTCTAAAGAGCAGCTGCATTTACAGTTGCTGTTAATTCAAGGCCACCATGGACCAGGCACAGGGCCAAATGTGTTAGGCATAGGCTTTGCGTCCCCAAAACAACCAGACTGGGACAGAAACCCCGATTCCTCTCACGTCCCTGTCTCCTGCCCAGCTACCCTGACATCCGTGGAGTGACGGGGTCGCCTGTGGTTCTAGGGCCGCACAGTGGGGCCTGCTGAGTATATGTGCTGGCTGCTCTCTCTTTAGAAGTCATTCTGGACACACTGGGGACCAGGAGGAGGGGGAGATCCTAGGGAAGAGAGAGTGCTGGCTTGCAGGGAATGACCGTGGGAGTGTTTGCCTTGTAACCAAATCACAGAGGGTGCTCTTGTGAAGGGCTGCTTTATTGTAGCAACTGGAGTGTGTCTTCTCTTTTGGCACCTTGCAAACACCTCAGGTGCCACAGGAGTCTCAAGGGGCGGCTGGGGCTGTTGGGCAGCATATGAATGAAAGCTTTCATGCTGCCCCTTCCTCAGGAAAGCTCTGGTAGCCCTTTCCCTCCGACCTCCTTTCAGGCTGCCTAGGTTGCAGCTCAGTCCTAGGGTCCCTCTCAAAAGCCCCCACTCAGCGCTGGCTCTACTGGGGCTGAAAGCAGCTGAAGGTGTTTAACAGTGTGGACTTTCTCAACGAGAGCTTGATGGACAAAGTCAAAGGAGCTTTTGACTTCAACAAGAAAAAAAAGGGACTTTAATGTCCAACCAGAAAAACATCCTTACTTTTGCAATTGAAACAATTTGCATTCCACATACCGAATAAAGCTAGGTGAATGTGTTTGTGACTTCTAAGAAGCACAGGCCAGGCCAGGCCAGGGCTCCAACAGACTCCCAAGTTCAAATCCTCTGCCTCTGCCTTAGACCCAGAGGCAGGTCCAGGTTTTGTAAGGCCTACACTGTATACAATTTGGGCAGCTCTTTTAAAGAAAGGGATACAAAATTAGGACTGAAATGAATATTTATCTGGAATAACAATGGAAATGTCTCTAAATCTCTAGAGATTCAGGAGGACCCCTGAAGAACAAGCATACCCGCTGGAGTTGGATCTCAGGAAGGCTCCATTGGTCAACCCCACCTGGAGAAGCTGGTGATGGAAGCATTGCCACCTGAGGCACCTGGAGCATGGCCCCTGCACCAGTCACAGAGAGGAGACCTCCACAGCCCCCTTGCCTTGGGCTGAGAGGTGTGAGCCAGCAATGGCCTGGGCAGGACCTCCACATTGCCCTCAAGTTCACATCCTAACATTCCGCAAGTCATCTGGATGTAGGGTGACCAATAGTCCCAGTTTGCTTGAAACTGAGGACAAACTAGAATGGTTTTCTGTGACCTTGCCTTTCAGTGCTAGAACCTAAGAAGTCCCAGGAAAATGGGGAAAAGTTGGTCCTCCTATCTGGTTCCATATATATGGTGCGAACACCTCCCATCCGCTGGTGATTGGTGACATGTTGGAGTCACATGGCCATCAAGCCACACGTGCTTTTAACAAGTGTTTATTTTGTGTATTGAGCTCCTGATGAATGCCAGGCATGACAGAGTCATGTCCCAAATCCATCTTTCCAGGCTTTACCTGTGGCTAGACACGGCCCTTATCTCTGCAATTCCTGGTGCTGAGCACCCATGGGCATTGCTCAGTTGTCCTGTCTCTCAGACTGGGAGAGCCTGGCCCAGGCACTGCCAGACCCCCTACAGGACCTGTAGATTCATTTCTGAAGTTCACCAAACTCTCAGATACTGAGCGGCCAGCCTCCCTAAGGCTCCCTCAACGCACCCTCCCAGCACAGGATGGTTCCTGGGTATCATCACTTTTGGGTTCTTGCTGAACTCTAGCACTGGCCCAGGAAGGCACAGGTCTTCCTATCCTTTGAGACAGGACCACATGTCCTGTTCCTCTGAATACCAGCACCCGAGTCACTTTAGGAAGGCACAGCCCAGTGCACCTGTGAAGGGCTTTCAATTCAGTGTGAGTCAGCATCCACGATCCACATTCAGAGTTCAAGACTTCATGGTG